TATCTCTGGTTTGATGAAACTAATAAATCATTAATTAGGTTGAAGGGAAGCAGTAGCAATCAGCATAGCTGTCTGACAGCTGGGATTCTGTCAGAAGATTGTCAGGTACTCTATTACTTCAGAGTGACATGGAATTGGGAACTGAATGACAGCAGTTGACAGAAATATAATTTTTTCAAGAAACATATATTTAAAGCTCTAATTAAGCATAATGACAAGGAAAAACAAGGATACCCTGCTGAGAAACAGAGGATGTATGTTCTCATTCAACTTTATCTTCTCCGGGATAGTTAAGTAAATTAGTAGTCCTCTTTGAATTAGATGAATTAGATGTTTATTCATGTTTTGGGAAAGCCTTAAATTGACAGAATTCTCAGCTGAAAGTATGAAAACAAACAAAAAAATAAATAAAACTGCCAATAACTGTTTTCCAATTAAATCGTATAGCATGACTGTTAAATTTGTGAACTCTTTAAACTGTAAGAAAGAAAGTAATATTTACTGGAATCAAGCATATACACTGTAAGAATCTTAGGCTCTCCAGGGTATTGTATGCGATATAAAATTGTTGTGAAGGTGACAATGATAACGACGATGACGACGACTACTAGGATTATCATTCTATCCTTATCACAATAAATCGAGACTGGTATCATCATCATTTTGTAGAAATGGAAATTGAAGTTAGTGACAATGCATGCTCACTCATTTCAGTAGTCATATATTTGTTGTGTCTGTTACTTCTCTAGAAGTAATGCTCTTATTTGTTAAATGAAATAAGCACTAGTAGGTTCCCAGGGAATATTTAAAATATTTCTTTCTTATTCCTGGAATAAAAAGATTTTCTAAAGTTTCATGTGCATTTCTGGTGTTATTTTTAGTAATATAGAAGTGTTCATGGTTGTGAGTTTCTCTTGAACATAATGAATTAACTCGCATTATCAAGTCAAATAAGAACTTAGAAAAATAAAATAACAGTAACAAGAAAAGTAACAGAAGAAAAGAATAATGAGGATAACAGCAAAGTTGATATAGTTTGTCAAATTCACCTAAGCTGATATTTAAAGGAAAGGAAAACAAACAAAAGTTTATGAAAATAAGAGATAACACAAGCATACAAAATAGGAAATATGAAATGTGAAACAACAAAAATGAGAGAAATTTTTACAATTTTGAGGGTCATCGGCCAAATTATAAGAAAGTATATTTGACTACTTAAATATGTGAATAATTTACTAAGGAATCATTCAGTACAATTTGTAAAAGATATGGAAGCCTAACATGGAATACTAAAAAGTACATAATGCTAAATAACTCAGAAAATGAGATAAAGTGAAAAAAACAATATATGGGCCAGTTAGAAAAAAGAGCAAGAGGATTACTTAAACAAAACTTATCACTAATCATATTAATGTATGTGTTCAAAACTCCCATATAAAAGGCCAAAAGTATAAGACTGTATAAAACAAAATGTTCAGTTATAGCTATCAAAAAGAAATATGTTTTAAATGAAAGGACACAGAAGGGTTAGAAGCATAAGAATTAAAAATTCTATGTATAAACGTATCAATGTACAGATATATGTGTGTACATATTTGGTAATTTTTGTAATACAGTTAATATCAGTAGTATCCTGGATATGTTTAACAGATTGCTCTCTGGGAGAATGTAAAAACAATGACAACCCCAATTAAGGTAGACATTACAGTTCTTAATAAAATAATAGGAAATTAAACTGAATGATACACAAGAATGTTAATACACCATAACAAAGAATACTTATTAAAATCACACAGGTTGGCTTAACATTCAAAAACCAACTGATATAATTCACTTTCTATTCAAAACAAAAGAAAATATGTATCATCTAAATACATGGATAAGGCATTTGAAGAAATCTGTCACCCATGCATCATTTAAAAACAGAACAAAACAAACACAAAACATAAAATTTTTGCAGCAAACTGAAAATAAAAGGGAACTTCCTTGACCTGATAAAGGGCATATATGAAATATCTATAGACTTCATTATATGCAATGCTGAGAGCAAGAACATATGTTATCCCTCAGAGCAGGAACAAGCCAAGAATGTCTGTTCTCCCTATCTTCCTTCCCTATTATACTGGAGGACATAGCCAGAAAAATAAAGCAAGAAAATAATTAAGGACTAAAATATTTGCAAGGAGAAAATAGAACTTTCATTATTCACAGATGACATAAAATATGCATAGAAATCCTCAGATACTATTAATTGTAAATACATTCACCTAGTTCATATTATGTAAGATCAACACCCAAAATTGTTCAATTATATTTCTTTAAACTAACAACAAATAATTTAAAATAAATATTTAGAGTGCCATATACAATATCTTGACACATATTAAATACTGGAGTTCAATTTAATAAAACGTTCAAGACTACTAAAAATGCTGTCACAAACAAACAAACTAAACAAACAAAAAGTAGAAACAGACCCATAAATACAGAGAACAAACTGGTCATTGCTGGAGGAGGGGAGAGGGGTAGGGAGATGAGGGGAAAAAGACAAAATGCCACTAAGAGCTATTGAAAGAAAGAAAGAAAGAAGAAAGAAAGAAAGAAAGAAAGAAAGAAAGAAAGAAAGAAAGAAAGAAGGAAAGAAAGAAAGAAAGGGAGAGAGGGAGGGAAAGAAAGAAAGAAAGAAAGAAAGAAAGAAAGAAAGAAAGAAAGA